TTGACATATATTTTAGATAGATCAAACACGTCATCTCATAAATTGCATACACAAACACACACACACACAATAACCTGTTTAAATGTGTACCTATTAACCTCTGTATGATATTTCCAAACAATTCATAAAAAAAGAAAATAAATCTGGATTAAAAACTTGAGGTACAACTTGATGGGTTTAGAAACTGAAGAATTAAGTTAATTAATCTCCAGAATTAAGCGAGTTTTGTTCATACAAGAGCAATTTACTTAACGTACTCATGTGCCCTGGGGATGTACGACACATTTGTTCATGTTAAGAAGCTTTTGGGAAAAAGATGTCAGAGTGGAATCAGTAAGTTTGTCACCTGACACATCATTATTAGGTGAATTTTGATCTGAATTCTTACAATGCATAATGCTTTGATCTAATATTGATTAATATTCCCCACTGAATTAAGTGCATTAACAAAGGAGATTATGTTGAAAAAGATTGACACATGATTTTACCATAAAAATGCATTGAAAATCAGAGAGAAAGGGATTATTAACCAAATTTATATCTGAAATCTTTAACTGTATTATGCTTGATCTGTGTGATTAATATGCCCTACTGAATCAAATGCATTAACAAGGAAGGAAATTATGTTGAAAAACATTGGCACATAGTTATTAACCAAATTTTGATTTAAAATATTTCGTTATATAATGTTTGATCTATATATTTAATGTTTCCCACGGAATCAAGAGCATTAACAAAGGAGATTATTTTGAAAATGTCTGGCACATAGTATATTAACCAAAACTTTGATCTGAATTAAATGCATTAATAAAGAAGACTATGTTGAAAACTTTTTTATCGTTAGTATGCAGACTTATTGAGATGTATCCATATATATTAGCTTCATCAGAATTAACAGGATTTGCTGGGAGCCTAAATTAAAGATTTGTAAGACCCCAATTCAGTTATTTGGCTGTAGGTAACCAATGGCTGACTGCTCATCTCCTGAGCATACCTATTTGTTCAGATGACTAACTTATCCCTGTTGCAAATGTCTGCACAGGCATATTTGTATTTCTTCAACAACCACAGAGTCAATGAGTGGTTTATACTGCAATTATGTTGAGCAAACCATAGTTACAGTGTCTGGGAGAGGTGTATCATCTGGAATGATCAGCAGTTGCATAAGGTCAATACACTCAAACCCTCAGTCACGATGACTTGTCACTTTGTGCAAGCACAACAAGCAACAGTTTCCAAATGGTACTACATACTCAGACTATCAACCCAGGCTGATATTATCAAGATGTCACCTCCTTACAGACTGACCAAGGTTCAAACATGGGTTTTATGGTTATACTGCAAATGTTTCTACCGAGTGTGTTTTTAAAGATTCTGTCCATCAAAATCATTGAAACCTATTATGAAACAAGGTTGTTGCTTGTAATGCTAATATTTTAATGCTAGGAATATACTTTGGCCATTGTGGGTCATATCAGGTTTCATCACTTTTGGTCATCCTTACTTTACTTATACCATAAGATACTTGAAAATTTAAGTGAATCTTCATCGCATATTAGTACTGATTAAGTTGATTTTTACAATTTATCAACCTTTTGCAGGTTATTTAAAGCCAGAAAATATTTTTGATTGTATTGTAAGAATTTGGGGGGACATAATGATTCACTAATAAGTTCTATTAATTAATCCATAGCTGGGGGGAGAAGAGGTGGATTCATACTTGCATATAAGTGAATATAACAAACCTGACTGGATATTTGCATATAAGTGAATATAAAAAACCTGACTGGAATTTGAACTCGGATCTGTGATTTCCAATTCCAAGCTATTATCCACTACACCACCCACACATTCAAGCTTATAGCATCTGGTATTCCCAAGCGGCCACCCATCTTGGTGCTGTCAAGCTCGACATTGTTTAACTTTGGTAATCATACAGGAACTGGTGTTTCAACATGATATGCCTGTAAGCCAAATATTAGAAAGGAAAGATTGTTTAGCACTTACTTGACCTTTGTACTGAGTTGATCAGCAAGAAACACCTACTGTAGACAAATGTTTTTTTCAATATCTTTTAAATAAAAGTAATATTTTCCAAAATCCAGCAAACTGTTCATTAACTTTTCTAATTTTCATCAAATGCTTTATTTCTATAACAGCTAGTTTATTTTTGAAAGAATGTTAATTACAGTGCTGAACATATAGAAAAATTCTGCCTAATTTAAGGTGATTCTGAGAGAACTAGAAATCCTACCAGCATTCATTATTGTTGGCCACAATCTTAACAACATAAGATATGCTGACGACAACGGTGTTGGTAAAAGATGTTAACATTCCACACCACTTTAAATAAAAGGTTAGGAAGGAAAACTCCCATCAATACTGGAAAGAGCGATAAAAGCTACTGGACTTGAGAGACCTGTTTTCTTTAAAAAATGTTTTAAGAGAAATTTTATAAATTTCAGTTGAAAACAGTATTCAGTCAATGAATGCTAAATGTGGTAAGGTGGTGATAATATTACTGTTATAACCTAGGGAAGGTTACTGAATAGAATAATCAGACGAAGGTTGGTAATGAATGATAATACTTAGGACAAGAACAACACATATAAGATCCACCAGCAGTGTATAGAAGAAGCAGTCAACTGAATTCCACAATGAATCTCCAACTGCAATTAAGCATTTCACCCCAAGCAAGTCAGAAGTGCTATTATCACACAGGGGGTTATGGAGAGTGAAAATGAGAGAAAGGAGTGGGTGTAGAGGGGATTGAAGAAATGAAAAAAGAACAGGTATCAACGCAACAAAACATGGTGACTGATGTTGCATTTAGGTTTTGATGATTGTAGTTATCAGGAAGCAAGTGAGAGGAATGGGTTCAATATGGAGAAGTGCGAGGAAAGAAACTGTTTAGAAGGGCGGTTACATTTAACTATTTCAACAGTAAAAAGTTGGGATCTAGATGCCAATCTAGTAGTACACTTAAATTCATGTAGTCAGGGCACCAGGGAAAAAATGCTCATCAGTGCAGTAGCCATGAAAATATTTGTAGAAAAGACAGAGGGAAGCCATATCACGTCTGTGAGAAAGCGGCTGAAGTCAAGAAGCTAATTCAGTACCGATTACATTACAGATCTTACTTTAGATTTTTTTGAGAATATTGCAGTAAGGGAAGGTAGGGGAAAATTTTATGAATAAAACTGCAATCTATGTTGTTATTCATTTAAACATCAACATCATTTAATAGTAATAAAAAAAATATATATATAATATATTTAAAGTAATAATAATAGTAATAAAAAGAATAGATAGATACACACATATACAATACACACATACATATATATATAAACTTACATAATTACAAACCTAATATATATTTTTCAGTGTTTGATGCAAAATAAATGTCTATTTTGAAGACTATATAAACTTATTTTTATGATGACATTTAAGTATAATTTCATTTCTCTGGTTCAATAACTGGCTTTGTACTTAATTATTTTAATTTTTTCTTCCAGGCATAGTTTGCATCTGTTTTTTATATATATATATATATGAATTAAGATCAAATATAGATAGGAATGCAAGAGAATTATAGGATAAGGGACAAATAGGAAATCTTTATAAATCTGACATGTTTTGCTTTTGTTAACACTTGAGATGTGGAGGTTTATTTTCCACGAGGGTCGGTCAGGTAAAGGTGAGAGTGGGAGCATGTCGCTCCACCCTGGAGTCAAGAAATCGGCTGTATTTATGTCGGCTGCGGTAGCATTGTAGCCGGTTGGCAATATCTTTTGGTTGATGACTAAAAATTAACTTCCGCATTTTGACTGTACACATGGGTTTCATTTGGACACCATGTGTATTTAAAGTAGTTTCCAGTTATTATTTTTTTTAGGAGGACTTGTGGATGTTTAGGTTTTATTTGTTTTACTTTTTGTGTATCATTCTCTGAAGAAAAATGCTGAGTCACCGGAAGTTAACGGCATTCGGACGTTTGAGTAGCCGGCAGTAACTTCTGGCCGGGTGTGATACCCTTAACCATGCTTTCAAACTGATTTTGTGCAAAAACAATTGTGTTTTTCCAATTTTTGGCGCTGTCAAAACCACCGCCAGGTAATTTTACATAGTCATGTGAAGTTTTGTTGAAATCGGTTGAAAAATGTAGGAAATCCGATCCAATATATAAACGTACAGACACACATACAATCTGCGTTTTATAATAAGTAAGATATAGTTATATACATACATTTTACACACACACACACATATATATATATATATATATATATATATATATATATATATATATATATATATATTTATTTTCCAATGAATTCTGTATAAACTAAAAGTCTCTTCAGGATCTCTAGCAATAAACATAACCAGCATTTTGAAATAAATATCTCAATGATACAATAATAAAAACGATGCTGATTTATTTTAAGTTTAACATCTAATAAAAAGTTACAAATATGAGTGTGTGTGTGTATACTGTTCCTGTGAGTGGTCGACTGTCTTTTGCAACCCTTGGGCGAGAAACTCCTGACATAGTTGAAATCTCAAGGACACATGGCACAGTGGATAAAGGCATTGGTTAGATCCAGTGACAGACCCAAAAGAAGGTGAGTTCAATTCCTGGTTAAGGCAGTGGAGAACTTTCAGAGGGAATATTAGCAGGAGATAACTGATAACTGACATCCATCAAACATGGCACGTGGAACTAGAACAGTCTACCCCAGTGATCGAAATAAAGGGTTCAGTTAGAAATTCAACCACCTGAAGAAGGCCGGAGCGCGTACACGGCCAAAACGTTGTGACAAATATGGCGACAAAGATGAGGACAATAGTCCGACTAATGCAAATACTGTACATAATACCTCATCTCAGAAATATAGACAGACTTTGAAATCTCTAGTCCACAAATTGAGGAAAGATGGCTTGGAAAGTTTCATACTCACAGGGAAGATTAAGGCAAGTTATTGCTCACTCTGTTTACTCTGTTCCCATACAATCACTGAAGTTAAGCAACATTGAGCCTGGTCAGTACCTAGATGGGTGACCACTTGGGAATATCAGATGCTGTAGGTTTGGATGTGTGGGTGGTGTAATGGACAATGGCTTGGAATTGTTAATCAGAGAGCCAAGTTCCAATTCTTGTTGGGTTCGTTATATTCACTTATGTACAAATACCCTTGGGAAAAGTATGAATCTACTTCTCTCCCCAACTATGGGTTAATTAGTTAGACTTGCATTACCAAACCATTATTATCTGCCCTCCACAAAGAAAATTCTTACAATCTAAATATATTTTCTGGCTTTAAATGACCTGTAAAATTTTGATAAGCCGTAGAAAATGTATCAATCAATGAGATACTGATTGAACATATCTTTTAAATTTATTTATATTCTCTTGAATATAAATGTGTAGGAACTACAGTGGCCATAAAGTGAGTGATCATTTTATATATTGATTGTAATGTATAATTGATCTCCCACTTTATATCCACATTATCATTTCTTGTTTGTCTATAAAGTTCGGATTAGATAAGAATACACCTCTTCTCCCCACGGTTATGGGTTAATTAGTAAGACTTGTATCATTAAATTATTATTATTATCTCAAAATATTCTTATAATCTAAAAATAGTTCCTGCCTTTTAAATAACCTGCAAATAATAAACCATAAAAAAACAACTCAATTAATTTATATCCACTGAGCCTAAGTCTGTATTATCGAGTTTAGATAGGACAACTAGCTTTTCTCATGACATAGTTTGCCATGTGGAGACAGAGGTATGTACTCTCTGAGTGTCTTCTACTTAATTTTCAATTCATTAAATTTTCAAGAAATGAAACCTGTTTTCAGGCATTCAGTTTCTTTTCTTTTAAAAATCTAATACACTTGATCAACTTCTATACCATTGAATGCTTCTATAATGCTTCTATAATGTATTCCACAACAAAGCTTGCCTCAAAATGGTCAGAGTTGGCATGATCAAAGGATTCATCTTTCATATACAATAACATGGCTAAAGGAAGACCTACAACCAAGCAGATATGAATAACAAATCCTGTGATCAACTGACTATATATCATTTGCTGGTGTGGCTTTGAGTATGGAATGCATCTATAAAGCAATCAGTAAGTATTCCTCTCCCTGCAAGCAAAAGAAGGCGGAGAGAAGTGAGGGAGGGCTTTCATACAGAGACATTTGTTCAGTGCCTTTCAAGTCCCAACATGTTAGAGGAAAAGTTTAATTCATATTAACCAAAGTGGTCAATGGATTTAAAATAAGAAAGTTTTGTTTCTTCATTCTAATAAAACAAAGATTCACTGATAGAAAACAGAATTGCAATGTTTTTTGAGTTTTTGTTTTTAGTCAGGATACAAGACAGAAGATTACAGACATGCATATTGTAAGTATTAGTAAGTGATCATCAAAACTTGTATTATTACTTAGATAAATATATAGACAGGTGTAAGGAAATTGTATGACAAAGTAGGAAAAGTTTACTTGTGATGTATTTCATCCTTCAGGACTTTATCAAAATAAATTTTGTTATGTTGGTATAACTAAACATGTGCTCGGCATAGGAAGTGCTAGAAATTTTAGAATATTTTTTTAGAGTCTTTTTCTTTCCATCAATTTTGTAAGTATCTATTTCACACTATGATATTAGATCTACCAGGAATGGTGAGATGTTGTAAAAGCTAGGGCACAAATTTACTGTAGATGACCTTGTGATCAAGGCACTTTCTAGACATTTACGTCATAGTGAATTATTTTCTCCTTTGATCAGAGTAGCATTTTGTTTTTATGTCAAAGTTGTGATCAGTCTCGTTACAGTGGGCAACCAAGGTATTTGATGTATTATTTTGTAAAATGTTCCTTTTGTGTCTAGAGAGTGCTTTAATCACAAGGTCATCTACAGTAAATTTGCACCCTGGCTCTTATAAAATTTCACCATTCTTGGCGGATCTTCTAATATCACAGTGTGGAATACCTACTTAGAAAAGTGATGAAAAGAAAAAAAGACTCTAAATGAATTCGGCTAGATAAAAAAAAAATTCTTCAATTTTCTGCTGTATGTATGTGTAGTCCAACCTAGATAACAAAATTTAGTCCATATCTGTCTATATTTCTGAGATGAAGTATTATATACATTATTTACATTATTCGGACTATTGTCCTCATCTTTGGCGCCATATTTATTACAATGTTTTGGCTGTTGTATGCTTCAGCCTTCTTGGAATGTCAAACTGAACCCTTTATTTCACTCACTGGGGTAGACTGTTCTAGTTCCACATGCCATGTTTAATGGATATCAGTTATCAGTTATCTCATGTTAATTCCCCTTTCCAAGTTTTCCACTGCCTTAACTGGGTATTGAACTCACACTCTTTGGGTCCTGTCACTGGATCTAACTAATGCCTTTATCCACTGTGCCATGTGTCCTTGAAGTTCGATGAAGTCCTGAAGGATGAAACTCGTCACACATAAACTTTTTCCACTTTGTCATATTATTTCACCAATACTGTTCTTGATGTATAAAAATATAAATATATTGTTACCTTTTAGACAGGTATGTAAAGAGAGAGAAAATAGATGAACAAAAAGCATTCTTCTTCTTCTATGTGCCATGTTCCTTCAGGTTATCGTGGCTCTCCACAATTTCCTGTCCTTTGTAGCTCTTAATAAATTTTGTCTTTTTGTTATCTCTCCTAACCCTTGTTCTGCCATCCATTTACTCAAGCTCTTTCTTCTTTTTCTATGTGCTGTGTCCCTTCAGGACATTGGCGATCATGGCTCTCCACAATTTCCTGTCCTTTGTAGCTCTTGATAAATTTTGTCTTTTTGTTATCTCTCCTAAACCCTGTTCTGCGCACTCGGTAGATTATGCATTATTTTTTTCTCTCTCTCTCTCTCTTGCCTTCAATATGTCCTGTGAGTATCAAATTTTTCAAGTCTTCTTTCCTCATTATGTGCCCTTGAAATTTCAAATATCTCTTCTTGTTCATGTTAAGTATAAGTTTCCTTTTTGTTTCCATTTTCTCTAAAACTTCATTGTTGCTCACATGTTCGGTCCATTGTATTCTCTATATCCTTTCATAGAACCATATTTCTGTTACCTCAAGTCTCTTCTTCATCTATTAGGAGATAGTCCAACATTCGCTGCCATATAGGAGGACTGATATTACCTAACTACTGTGTCCTCTTTTCTTTGTTTCTAACAAAATTTTCCTGTTTCTTAATACTTTGCTTGGCTAGGAGTATTTATTTATCTCTAACCATAAAGCCTTTCCTGGGTATGACGATAAACCTCATCCGTGAGAGATTATGTACAAAACATTATCTATAAAACATACTGTTGCCCTGATAGTATAAACTTAAAAATGTCTTAAAATAAGTGTCGGACTTTGTCTATTTCATAATGTCAGACGTCATTTCTTTACATTTGATCCACCATGAGCAGATATGAATGTACGTGAGAGAATCATGGAAGATTGTAGTTTAAAGGCAGTAAAATCGACCTTGCTAACTGAACGATCCTCTGTGACTCAATCAGTTAAGGCATGTCAGGCTATATGACGGTTCTGTATAGGATACGGGTTTGATTCCTGTCAGAGGACAAATATTTTCTATGAAAATTTCTCAGACATTCAGGCTGGTAAATGTTATTAATACTGTTTATTATAAACAGAGCATTTACTTAAATCTCTGTATCTATAAAAAGAATGTATAAACATAAAAAAATGTCTTAAAATAAACTTACGTACAAAATATCTGTAGTTGAAGGCATACAAATCCATTCAACATATTTAAATTTTAATACCAGCAATATTTTTAGGAAAAATTATCACCAGCAATACATTATTGAAGGAAAATATATTACCAGCAATTAAAAATTGTCAGCATTAAATAACCCATTGAGGTTGACATGCTGTAAAACAAACCAAACCAAACTAACCATCAAGTGTTGTTTTCTGAAATGGTAAACAATTTGAAATAGGAAACGCCTTGTCCCTTATTCCTTCTCTTATTTTCTCTGTTCTATATTCAAATTAATTCTTTTGGTAAGGACCCTCAATTTGAATGCAGATAAAAAAAAGATTCTAAAGGGTTAAATTTGGGAGTGCCTTCCTGGATAATCAGCATTCAAATCCCTAGTTTTTATTTGGGCTTGAAAACCAACCACTAGGATCTGGGAGGAAATGCACAACTCTTTTAGCCCTCGAGCCGACTATTATCCTTCCTAGCTAATTTTTGTCTTAGCAAATTCATTTTTAACAAATTCTTTTCTTAAACATATAGAGTATATTTAGTTTTTATTTTTTCGACACATAATTTTTTTTTTTTTTTTTTTTTTTTTAACTTCTGAAATTTTTACCCATTTACAATTAATTGTTTCTTTGGGCATAAAACATTTTACATATAAAACTTGATGAAAAGTGACCTCGTCAATTTATAGTAATATAGAGTGGCAGTAAATGAGATAAGGTGAGCAAATAAAGCCCTGATTTCTTCCGTACTAAATTATAAAAGATTAAATTGTGCAGTTTGTATTAGTGACACATTTTTTAAAGTGAACACTTTCCCCTTCTGTTTCTGTGTGACAGATGGCTTTCTTTGTTTGTCTCGGTATGAAAAATTTATCAATATTATCATGACAGCATACACATCTATGTAAGCTGTTAGTCAAGTGTTTTATTAGTAATAGTGCAGCCATTGCTTTCACTGGGGATTTAATAGCACTTCTCTTATAGTATGAACAATAGTACCTGTCTTGAGACTAATAGCTACAATATAATAACTTCAGTCAAAATTTTCTATTGTGCTCCAAAAGCTTGTTGTATTTATTGTTCTCTTGTGATTATTGATGATTTCAATTAGGATCGATTGATTATTTTTTTTTTCTTATCTTTAATGTGATATTGTAGAGAATTTTATTTAATTAATGACATGTCCCAGGACACAGGTGATCATGGATCTCCACAACTTCCTTTTCTTTATTTTCTACAAATTGCCAAACTGATTTAATTCAGCTTTGGGGACCTGCTTACCTCCTAGTTAGGAATCTAGGGTT